AATATTTTTCCCATTCTGTCGGTTGTCTCTTCACTCTCCTGACTGTTTCTTTTGCAGTACAGAAACTTCTCAATTTGATGTAATCCCAATAGTTGATTTTGGCTTTGACTGCCTGTGCCTCCCGGGTCTTTTCCAGAAATTCTTTGCCTGTACCAATATCTTGAAGGGTTTCTCCAATGTTCTCTAGTAACCTGATGGTGTCAGGTCGTAGATTTAGGTCTTTAATCCATGTTGAGTGGATTTTTGTGTAAGGTGTAAGGTAGGGGTCTTGCTTCATGCTTCTGCACGTGGAAATCCAATTTTCCCAGCACCATTTATTGAATAGACTGTCCTTGCTCCAGGAATTAGTTTTAGATCCTTGATCAAATATAAGTTGGCTGTAGATGTTTGGGTTGATTTCTGGTGTTTCAATTCTGTTCCATTGGTCTATCCATCTGTTTCTGTACCAGTACCATGCTGTTTTGATTACAACTGCCCTGTAGTATGTCCTGAAATCTGGTATTGTGATGCCTCCGGCTTTGTTTTTGTTGTACAAGATTGCTTTACCTCTTCGAGGTCTCTTGTGCCTCCATATAAATTTCAGCACCATTTTTTCCAGATCTGAGAAGAAGGTCTTCGGTATCTTGATTGGTATTGCATTGAATCTGTAAATTGCTTTTGGGAGAATGGACATTTTGATGATATTGATTCTTCCAATCCATGAGCATGGAAGATTTTTCCATTTCTTGGTATCCTCTTCTATTTCTTTCTTTAAGGTTTTATAATTTTCATCGTAGAGATCTTTAACGTCCATGGTTAAGTTTATTCCAAGGTATTTGATTGTTTTTGTAGCTATTGTGAATGGGATTGATCTTAGAAGTTCTTCCTCAGCCATGGCATTGTCTGTGTATACAAAGGCTGTTGATTTTTGTGCATTGATTTTATACCCTGCTACTTTGCCAAACTCTTCTATGAGTTCCAATAGTCTCTTAGTAGAGTTCTTTGGGTCCCCTAAATACAGAATCATGTCATCTGCAAAGAGGGATAGTTTGAGTTCTTCCTTCCCAATTTGTATCCCTTTAATTTCTTTTTCTTGCCTAATAGCTCTGGCTAGAACCTCCAGAACTATATTGAATAGCAGTGGTGAGAGTGGGCATCCCTGTCTGGTCCCAGATCTCAGTGGAAATGCTTCCAACTTTTCCCCATTCAATAGGATGTTGGCTGTGGGTTTTTCATAGATTGCTTTGATTGTATTGAGGAATGTTCCTTCCAAACCCAGTTTGCTTAGAGTTTTCATCATGAACGGGTGTTGTATTTTATCAAATGCTTTCTCGGCATCTATTGAGATAATCATATGGTTTTTCTTCTGCAGTCTGTTAATGTGGTGTATCACATTGATTGTCTTGCGCACATTAAACCATCCCTGCATACCAGGGATAAATCCCACTTGGTCTGGGTGGATGATCTTTCTGATGTGTTGTTGCATTCTATTGGCGAGAATTTTATTGAGGATTTTTGCATCTATGTTCATCAGGGATATTGGTCTGTAATTCTCTTTCAGTGCTGCATCTTTCTCTGGCTTAGGAATTAAGGTGATGCTGGCTTCATAGAAAGAATTTGGGAGGATTCCCTCTTCTTCGATTGTTCTGAATAGTTTGAGAAGAATTGGAGTTAGTTCTTCTTTAAATGTCTGGTAGAATTCAGCAGTGAATCCATATGGTCCTGGGCTTTTCTTTGTTGGGAGGGCCTTTATTACTGTTTCAATTTCTGTCTCAGTTATGGGTCTGTTTATGTTTTCGATGTCTTCCTGGTTCAATTTAGGCAGGTTGCATGTGTCCAGGAATCTATCCATTTCTGATAGGTTTCCCTGTTTGCTGGCATACAAGTCCTTGTAGTAATTTCTGATGATTCTTTTTATTTCTGTGGTGTCTGTTGTTACATTTTCTTTTTCATCTCTGATTTTATTGATTTGGGTCTTTTCTCTTCTTTTTTTAGTTAGTTGGGCCAATGGGGTGTCAATTTTGTTTATTTTTTCAAAAAACCAGCTCCTCGTTTGGCTGATTTTTTGTAATGTTTTTCTTGATTCAATCCTGTTGATTTCTTCTCTGATTTTAATTATTTCTCTTCTCCTACTAGATTTGGGTCTGGTTTGCTGTAGGTTTTCTAGATCCTTGAGGTGAATTGAAAGCTCATCTATTTGGTGCCTTTCCAATTTCTTGATGTAGGCACCTATTGATATAAACTTTCCTCTTAACACTGCTTTTGCTGCGTCCCATAAGTTTTGGTATGTTGTGCTGTTATCCTCATTTACTTCCAGAAAGGTTCTGATTTCTCTTTTGATTTCTTCTATGACCCATTGTTCATTCAGGAGCATGTTGTTCAATCTCCATGTGTTTGCGTATGCTCTAGGGATTCCTGAGTTGCTAATTTCCAACTTCATTCCTTTATGGTCTGAGAAGCTGCATGGTATGATTCTAATTCTTTTGAATTTGCTGAGACTTGCTTTATGGCCTAGTATGTGGTCAATCCTAGAGAAGGTTCCATGTACTGCTGAGAAGAATGTAAAATCTTTAGCTGTAGGATTGAAAGTTCTGTATATATCTGTTAGATCCATTTGGGCTATAGTGTCGTTTAAATCTACTGTATCCTTGTTGATCTTCTGACCGGATGATCTGTGTATTTCTGAGAGTGGAGTATTGAAGTCCCCCAGTACTATTGTATTGGGGTCTAAGTCTTCCTTTAAGTCCGTTAATAAATCTTTTAGATAAACCGGTGCCCTGTAGTTAGGTGCATATACATTGATAATTGTTATATCTTCCTGTTGAATTGATCCCTTAATCATGATATAGTGTCCCTCTTTGTCTCTCTTAACAGTTTTTGTGGTAAAGTTTATGTTGTCCGATATTAAGATGGCTACGCCCGCTCTTTTTTCATTTCTGTTGGCATGGTATATCTTTTTCCAGCCTTTCACTTTCAGTCTGTATGGATCTTTGTTGGAAAGATGTGTTTCTTGTAAGCAGCAAATAGATGGGTTTTGTTCCTTAACCCAATCAGCCAATCTGTGTCTTTTCACTGGACATTTCAGGCCATTCACGTTCAATGTGACTAATGATAAGTGGTAACATTGCCCTGCCATTTGCCAAAGATAAGTTCTAATATATGCTTTGAATTCCCTGTGATCTTTTGCTGTGAGCTTTCCTTCCTTTACCTTCTTTCATATTGATGACCGTGTTTCTGTGCTTCTGTGTGTAACACATCTTTAAGCATCTTTTGCAGGGCTGGACGAGTGGCAACAAATTCTTTCAATTTCTCTTTGCTATGAAAAGTCTTTATTTCACCTTCATTCACAAATGATAGCTTTGCAGGATATAATATTCTGGGCTGGCAGTTTTTCTCTCTTAGTACCTGGGCTATATCTCTCCATTCCCTCCTAGCTTTTAGAGTTTCTGATGAGAAGTCAGCTGTGAGTCTGATTGGAGATCCTCTGAGAGTAATCTGACGTTTCTCTCTTGCACATTTTAGCATCTTTTCTTTATGTTTCACTGTGGAGAGTTTAATTACAACATGTCGTGGTGAGGATCTCTTTTGGTCGTGTTTATTAGGGGTTCTGTGAGCTTCCTGTACTAGGATTTCTCTGTCCTTCTCCAAACCTGGGAAATTTTCTGCTAATATCTCACTAAAAAGGCCTTCTAATCCTTTCTCCCTCTCCATGCCTTCAGGAACTCCTAGAACCCGAATGTTGGGTTTTTTAATAGTATCCTGAAGATTCCCGACAATATGTTTTAGATTTCTAATTTCCTCTTCTTTTCTTTGGTCTGACTGTATCCTTTCCTGTTCTCTGTCTTCTAAGTCCGATATTCTCTCTTCTGCTTCACCCATTCTGTTTGTAAGGCTCTCTATTGTGTTTTTCACTTGATCTATTGAATTCTTCACTTCAGTCACTATCACAGTTTCCTGTTGTACTAGTTGTTTCGTTTCATTTTGATTCCTCCTTAATATTTCATTTTCACGAGAGAGATTTTCTGTCTTGTCCATTAAGGATTTGTGTAGTTCAAGAATTTGTTTTTGAGAACTTCTTAATGTTCTTATCAATTTTTTGAGATCTGCTTCTTGCATTTCTTCTATGTCATCATCTTCATAATCTTGAATTGGGGTGTCTTTTTCATTTGAGGGCGTCATGGTGACTTCCTTGTTTTTATTACCTCGATTTTTGCGTTTGTTATTTGGCATATTGGAGATATTTGGTTTCTTCACTGTGGTGCTTTTTCTTGTTATACTATGACTCTAGATTAAGTGGACTATCTGTTTTTGATGGAGCCTTAGGGCTTGAGATGGGTGTGGCCTGAGAGCTCTGTTTGGTGTGCCAAAGGTGACACTCCCAGGTTAGGCGTGGTAAATCTCTCTCTCTCTCTCTTTTTTTTTTTTTATTTAAAAGGGAAGTAATTCCGCACAGCTGAACGAAGTTGGAGGTAGTTAGCAGGCAAATGATATACCCACAGGAGCCAGAGATTGGAAGCTCTTTCCCAAGGACCACACAGGGAATCTGTTTGGCCCTCAGAGTGGGCTCTATTCTCCTTCAGTCTCCCACTGGGTTGCCAAAGTTATGGAATTTTAGCGTCTCTGGAGAGTGCTCACGTGAATTCCGTGAGTTCTCTCCCCCACCGTCTCTTTTTTCACAGTCTCAGTTCAGTAGCACCACAAATTTACTAGGTCCTAATCTCCTGTTAATTCGCCCCGCCCAGAGTCAGGTTTTTCTGCTAGGCTCAGGGCCGGTGCAGACCTGAGGTCGCTCTGCTTATGACGTATGTCCAAGATGGCGCCTGCTCTTTGTCTTGCTCGCCCTTGAGAGGTGAGCGGAGAGAGAGAAACCCGTGTCCGTACCAGTCACCCTTTTTTTTTTTCTCTCTCTCTCTCTCTTCCAGCTAGCCTGGCGAACTCCCCCCCCCCCCCGGGGGTCGTTCCCTCTAGTCTCCTCTCTCCGCTTGCCTGCCGGTGTCTCGGGCTATTGAGGTTCGGCTCACCTCGCGTTCCAGCGCTGGTGTGTTGAGTCTGCCACTGGTGTCCCGAACTGTGGGCTCCCACGCTCTCCACGCAGGTCCGCTGTGAGTCACACGTTCCGGAAGAGTTTCTTCTGCTGTTTCCTCCCCTATTCTTCCTTGAACCTGCAGTATCTCCACTTTTATTAAACTATCTCTCCCCAGACTATCAGTGTGCTCCCTTCCTATTCCGCCATCTTGCCGCTACCTCCGCTGACAGTTTTGCAAGTTCATAGTCCAGTCTATCAATCTGCATCTGATGAGGGCGATGAATGGTGGGATGTGGAGAGAGGGAGGATCACATGGAAAGTCAGGGAATCAGAGAGAAAGACTAGGCCAAACGTGGCTCATATAGCCAATCCTCTGCGGAGAATTACCTGCCCAGGGCAGACTGCCAATGACCTGAAGACCTCCTAGGAGACCTACCTCTCAAATGCCATAATTAGAGCAAGCCTTCACACTACTCCTCAACTTTTTGCATTAATCTACTTACCCTAAGACTTTACAAAAGACTTTTGCATCATCCATTAACATGAGACTTAGGGGCTTAAATATCTGCATTAGTTTGGGAGAACCCAATCCTGTTCAAACTATAACAGGTCATGAAGGTAGTGACTCCCAGGATGAGATTAGCACCCTTATAAAAAGGGGAAGAAAGAACAGAGTTCTTCTCTTTATGTCAGGTAAGGACACATGAGAAGCAGCCATCTGTAAGCCAAAATCTACTGGCACCTTGATCTTAGTCTTCCAACCTTTAGCACTGTGAGAAATAAATATCTGTTGTTTAATATCTATGATTTCTGTTACAGCCACCCAAGCTGACTAGGACATCAGTCATCAAAATCCTTGTTCTTTCCAGGTCCAGCTAAAAATGCTAATCCTTCTTGGAACATTTGATAGAGACAGTAATGGTAATAATAGATTATCTTCTTATTAGAAGTAAGACAGTAATATGTAGGTTCCCATGTGTCAGACACTGAGTACATGAGTTGGATGATTAATCTCATAATTCTCATTGTGAGCTTATGACTGACTTGATTATGATTGTTATGATCTACATCAGACATTCTTTGGCTCAGAATTCCATAATACAGAAATGTTCTATTAATGATCTTTTCATCAGATATGCATGGATTTGGTTTCTAGCTTTAAAACTCACTAGACTAGCTGTGTGACCTTGAACAAATTATTTAACTCTTCTAAAGCTACATGTGCAAGAATGAAGAAAAATCTTAGTCCTGAGCGTAGCTGTGTTCCTGGGATAGTCCCTCATCAGCAACCCAGGCTGCCCTGCACCTCCCTCTTCCATTAATTCCCATGTTGTCTTGGTTCTTGGCTCCCTCTTTTATTTTGTTGGAGTGTATCCTCCAGATGCATTCTGACAAAGTAAACATGAGGCAGAAGACTGTGTTTATGAAACTTCACATGTCTTAGATTTTATTTATTTGACTGCTTCTTTAAGAGGTGCCTGGTGCCTCCTCTTCCTGAGCTCTTCTGGGGTCCATCAGTGTTAATCAGTTTGTTCTGGGTTTTCCCATAGCCAGCATAGGCTCTGGTTTTCTCTAGTTTTCCAAATTAGTTTCTATTTATCCCTGTGTTTCCCACCTTCTGAAACTGTGTAGCTGTCCTCTCTCTGCAGTCCTATGGGCACTGTGGATTTATGCTTCTTTCTTAATCCTTACGGTAATGTGATTTTATTGGCCTTTGAGGAGGAACACAGATGCCCACAAATATCCAATGCACAATATTTGATGAGAAGTGGGGATTATTGTTATTTTGGCATCAAAATTTAGAAGGATGACTATGGTTCTTGTTCATATAGAAAACCATACCTCTTTTACATAAAAGTTGGATTATAAAATGTTCAGTTGGGGGGCCAGTGCTGTGGCTTAGCAGGCTAAGCCTCTGCTTGCAGTGCCAGCAACCGTATGGGCGCCAGTTCATGTCCCGGCGGTTCCTTTTCTGATTCAGCTCTCTGCTTGTGGCCTTGGAAAGCAGTAGAGAATGGCCCAAGTCTTTGGGCCTCTGCATCCCTGTGGGAGATCCAAAAGAAGCTCCTGGCTCCTGGCTTCAGATCAACCCCGCTCCAGCTGTTGTGGCCATTTGGGGAGTGAACCAGTGGATGGAAGACCTTTCTCTGTCTCTCCTTCTCTCTCTCTGTAACTCTACCTCTCAAATTAATAAATAAAATCTTTCAAATAAAACAATGTACGGCTGGGATGGGGAGTTAATGATTTCCATTTGGGGCAAGTTTATGTTGAAGTTCCTAAGGGATATTCAAGTATGGCCTTCTTGGCACCTTTGCTTAGGAGAGCCTGGAACTTAGAAGATAATGATAGGTTAGATAAGGATAGATGCAAGTCATCAGTGGGGAAGAGAAAGGAGGAGGGCATGTAAATAGAACCATGGGTGGAGAGCAGACTATCACCAAGAGTCACAAGAAAGCATTTTGTAGAGGAGATTATCTCCTAGGGTTTTGTTTGGCTTTGCTACTTCCCAGTTTCTGAGATTAGAAAAACTTAAAGTTCCAAATGTTCCTATTTTTAGTTTCTAAAAAACGTTAGTTTTTTTGGAACAATTTTAGGTTCACAGCCAAATGGATTGGAAAGCACAGAGTTCTCCTGACCCCACACATACAGTGAATCCCGCTGTTAGCATCCACACCAGAGTAGAACCTTTGCTGCAATTTATGAGCCTACATTGACACATTAACACCCAGAGACCGTAGGTTACATTAGGGCTCTCTCTTGGTGTTGTACATTCTGCGGGCTTGGGAAAATGTATATTGACTTGTATCTCCCACTACAAAGTGTTGTACGAAGTCGTTTCACTGTCCTACAAATCCCCCATGCTCAACTCTCGTTTTTGGAGCTAGACTTTACTGTGATCTCCAACAGTGCTTTCTGAGTCACGGAAGGGGAACACCAAGATGATGGAGATATGAAACCTAAGCCAGGTGGTGGGTTACTCCAAACACTGTAGATTACCTTAAAGAGTCTGAGTGACTCACAGCATGTCACTAACACCACCTTCTTCCTTAAACACCCACAGACTACGACGAGTTAGAACCAGCAGCCTCACCATAGAAATGGTTCTGCTAACTTGTGATCCAATAAATCCTCATAGAAAGCCAAACATTGCAGCAACATAGCAAGACAGTGTTCCACATGCTGCCACTGCACTCAAGTAGAGCATAAATAATGTCCTTTGAGGTTAAAAAAAAAAGTTGATCACTTAAAATGGGAGGCTTTGCCTCTGTCAGAATAGAGTAATCCTTGCCCATGGTCTTGCCTCTGGTGCTGAGAGCTTCTTTGACAGGATCTAAGTGTTGGTTAAGAAGGGAAGAGTTTGGAGTCTGCACAGGTATTTGGCTAAGAGCCCAGGGTTCTGTATTGTGAAGTAAGAGCCAACTTCGATCCAAAAAAATTAAGGGCAAGTATTACCAACCAGTCAACTATTATTTCCAAAAGGTCTGCAAGGGGCCTTGTACGCTATCTGATTGTGGTGAGATTATCCAAAACACATCTCACACTTCTGACAGGACATTGGTTTTCCATCTTGGCTGCTCACTGGAATTACCTGGGAAATGTTCAAAAATCATTGATTCCCCAGATGTTAAACCACTGCCTGCAATGCCAACATCCCACATGGGTGCAGGTTCATGTCCCCGTTGCTCCACTTCCAATCCAGCTCCCTGCTAATGTTCATGAGAAAGCAGCAGAAGATGGCCAAAGTGCATTGGCCCCTGCACCCATGTTGGAGACCCGTGTGAAACTCCTGGCTTCTGGCTTTGGCCAAGCCCAGCCCTGGCCAAATGCAGCCATTTGGGGAGTGAACCAGTGGATGGAAGCTTGTGCGCGCGCGCTCTCTCTCTCTCTCTCTCTCCCTCTCCCCCTCCCTCCCTCCCTCCTTCTCTGTATCTCTAACACTGCCTTTCAAATAAATAAATGTCTTTTTTAAAAAACCTACAAAGTTTGAGTATTAAGCCTCTTTGTTGTTGAGATGGGCTCTTTTTTGTGATAAGGGAAAAAAAAAACCTACATTAGGAAAGTCAATTGGTATTAATGAGAGCATTTAAACATCTGAAAAAAACCATCTGCTTTATCTTATTTCACTTCCAGGAGTAAAATATTACTTGATTTCCAAATGTCATTCCTCCTTGTATTTACAGGTAAATCCATCTTGGGTATTGTGGCTTCTTTCAACATGTTTTTAATGTTTTAACTTTTTATTCTGAAACAATGTTAAGTACACAGGAAGCTGAAGACGATCCAAAATGGGCCCAAGTTCCCTTCACCTAGTTTCTCCAGATGGTTATATCTTATGTGATTATAGCACCGCAACAAAACCAGAAAATGGATGTTGACACAGTATGTGTGTGTATCTCTCGTGCCCTCTCCTCTCTCTTGTCTCCCATTAGTTTAATATTTTTAGCAATTTTAATGGTAAAATATGTATCTGTATAACATAAAACTGACCTTTTAAACGGTTTCTACTTGTACTATTCAGTGGCATTAAGTGCATTCTCAATGTTGTGCAATCATTAACCATTTCCGGAAATTTTCATCATCCCAAACAGAAGCTCTGCTAAACAGTAGCTCTGTCTCACCCACTCCCTAGCTCCTGGTCACCACCAATTTACATTTTTTCCTCTATGAATTTGCCTGTTCTGGGTGTTTCTAAGATACTTGCAACGCTCAGCTTTGCACAGATGATTTTATTTGCATAGCGTTCTCATTTTCACTCTATCAAGTATTGGTGGACAATGTGTAGTTTCATAAATTGAACTTGGTAGTTTCCCACTGTCTTCTGTTTTCTGGAATGATATATATAGCCTTGGAATAGGCTGTTGTTTGAAAGTTTAAGAGAAACCCCATGGAAATATCATCTGGCCTAAATACTTGTAAAAAGTGTTCTCTTAACTATCTGTTGGGCTTGATCCACACTTCGTTATCTTATCCTTGACACTGGAGATGAGAGAAGCCGGGCAGGACTGCGCCCAGGGAGTCTCATAGAAACATTAGAAGCATGAGTGAGCTAAGAAGGCAGGGAGGGAGGAGACCCCAGAGATCTTCTGGTCTCATTTCCTTATTTACAGACAAGGACTCTGTTCCCCAGAGAGCACAAGGAACTTTTTCCAAAAGTGAGTCAAGCAGACGTCCAACACTCCTGACTCCCCTCCAAAAGCAGGAGGCACCATTTGAATTTCCTTCTTGGAGGTGAATCAACGCAATCAGATTGATACAAGAGGAAGAGAGCATTGGAGGGTTTTTTTTTTTTTTCTTCCAAGGATTTGCAGTTGTGTTTCCTCCTAGAAGCTCTTTTCCAGTGGCCCAGGATGGTCTGAATTCCTCTCACCTGTAGGGGAGGAGGTTGGGCCTGGTCAGGTTCAAAACTGGTGGAGGGGGTGTCTGTGGCCCACACCTTGGGAGGTGCTGCTGAGGGTCCCCTGAGGAACACTGGCGACCAGCACAGGGCTGCAGGCCAGGTAAGTCATGGAATTGAGAAAGGTCAGAGCCAGCCGTGGAAGGCCAGGGAGGTAGAAACAGAAAGGAGTAGTGAGAGAGACACGGAGCAATGGGGAGAAACAGGCCCGTCTGCCTGGTGGTGGCTTTTAGGGCTTTTAGGGTGGTGGTCACAGGAACAATAGCCAACACAACCGCTTTCTGGAATAAAATCTGGGGCAGGGTCACACTGAGGCTCCTTTCTATGGAACTTACTTCCCCTTCCTTCTCGGGTGTCAGCGCGACTGGTTGGAGGCCTGGTTTGTTTTCAGCAGGGATGTTGCAGTCTGTGGCCTTGAGTTTGATTGCCTGATACAGCAGACTCCAAGTATCTTTGGGACTAAACCACTTTTTTCTCTTGAGAAAAATGTTAGTCTTATATTAAAATCATTATTACATGAGATTAGAAATAAAAAGACAC